TCTTTTGGGGTTTTATGTTCTTATTCTTTTGTGAAGTTAACTGATTTTATCACAGATCAACACAGTGAATACGTTTATTTTTTTCCAACTCAAACGCTGCAAATATATTTACTTTATTTTATTTTCGCCCCACGAAATGCAGAACATTAGGTGCAGATTTGTGTTTTAGTATCATCCGATGAGTCTGAAAGCTCAAAACAGCTAAATAAACAGTGACTGTATTACTTCTTTATGAAATTGTGAGTGTAACTTTGACTGAATTAGACATAGAAAGCACTTATTTGCTCTGTCGTCAGTCACCTGGCGAGTCCCAGAGCCTAAATAACGATTTCACGTCTTCAGTGGGGTGTCAGACACATCGCCCCGCTTCCTCGCTGTGTTTCCATACCTGTTTCACTCTCACTCTTCTCTCCCACATGTTATCCCACAGTGTAATGTGCAGTGGGTGAAGTGGGGAGATCTGATAAAGGGATAATGGGCTCACAAAGTTTTCACAAGAGCCATAAAGTTACGGGTAGCAAAGACGACAAATAAAGAGAAACATCATGGAGTTTGTTTAGCGGTAGGATTTATATGGATGCTGTTTCCTGGAGGGCGGTTATAGACGACTCTTTTAGGGGAAGCAGAGAAATTATTTGGTTTTATTTCCAGCATTAAGTCGGCCTCATTTGTGGTTTTTTAAGTCTCTCCAGGTGGCCAGGAGGAGCATTCAAATAGCTCATGGTTGGGTTTTTACTCTTTGTAGATGATGCGGTGTTGCTGCTTTCCTCTGGACCAGACCTCCAGGTTGTTTCCAGGCAGTTTGGAAATGAAAAAATAATATTTTTGTCTGGTTAACTCCTTGTAGAGGACTCTCACCAATATATATTTATTCTTCTCCTTTTTCTGAGCTGACTAACTCTGCTCTTCACTCCACATTAAACTCACGGCAAACACAAACACGTCAACAAGCAAAACATCTTGTCAGGCGACGGGGAAAAGAAGGTTTTCAGCCCTTCCGTTTACAATAAAGACATCAGTGCAGCTTGATTCTGCTCAATGCGATGCCAGGCCTGCCTCATAAACCACATTTTGGCGGGGACGTAAACAAACAGCTCGAACCGGCCGCCCATCGCCAGGGAGGGCAGATCACTGGCTCCTGCTGATGTTCATGCACCACGAGCTGTGGTTAACACAAAGTTTGTGTGAGTCATATTTTGGTGTCAGCTCATCTGACTAGCAGTTCTAAGATGCCGTGCTTAAAATTCAACTTTTTAAAATGTAACTTTTTAGTTTTAAATCAAATGTCTCCATCTGATGGATTCAGCCAGCAGGTCTCCTGGGTTCTCTGCAGTTTAGTTCATTTCGTTTAGCTTATCAGATTCTGGTAAAAGAAACAACTCAAGAATAACGTTGTGATTCTAAAAGTCAGAATAAATTGCAGCCCAGATTATCACCTGCTGAAATTAGAGAGTAAGGAGGTGGCAGTGGAGGCTCTTTAAATAGAAGGAGCTCAGGTGGTGCTGTAAGAAGACCTGTAATTCACACCTGGACCTGTGCATGCTGGGAGGGGGGGGGGGGGGGGGTGCTTCCTAGAAGTGAAAGCAGCCTCATTAACAACACGCCTGTGTTTGTCCTGTTGCTTCAAGTGAAGAATGTTTCTATAAATGATAAATGGCCTGTATTTGTATAGCGCCTTCTTTGGGTTCTACAACCCTCCCAAGGCGCTTCACAACACAGTCATCCACTCATTCACACTCTGGTGATGATGAGGCACGATGTAGCCACAGCTGCCCTGGGGCACACTGGCAGGAGTAAGGCTCCCATATGCAGGTGCCACCAGTCCCTCCGACCACCACCAGCAGGCAAGGCAGGTTAAGTGTCTTGCCCAAGGACACAACAGTGCATTATCGGACGGAAGCCAGGATCAAACCAACAACCTTTCAAGTACTGGACAACCCACTCTACCTCCTAAGATACTGCTGCCCTATAGACTCAGTTCAGCTCAGGATGTTATCACTGTCACCATGGCAACTTATAATGCCTCCATCTCCACATGACCTGGGTTGTTGCCACTTTTATCAGATTTTAGTTCTGACAACAGAATATCCATAAAAAAGCAACCGTATATATTTTTTATCAGTCTTGGGGATGACGCTTAGCTAAAATTACTCCAAATTTGAGCTCAAAATCTGTTAAACTGGGAAAAATCAATGCAGTGATAAATATTTTATAGTTTGCAGTTGCAAAAAGCTCTCCGCTCCACCTGCTGCTTGATCTGATCTATTCTGTCCTTCCAACCGATTGCTGCCGAACCCTCCTCTCATGTTTTCCCACAGCCCGTCCGTGTTAAAAAAAGAAGCAGCCCTGTTGTAGTTTCCTGACTGTTAGTTTTTCTGTGATGACGTCTTTGCTGTTTAGCTCTGTAAACCACAGTCATTTCCGACGCTGCAGTTGTTTCTGCGCCGATGCCAGATAGTGTGTAATCACATGTGTCAGGTTGCTCCGTGTGAGGATAAGTGTTTACTTAACCGCAGCAGCCACGTCTGTGACAAACCTGGAGATGTTGAAACGTGTGTTGATAGTCCTCTTAACCGTCTTGTCAGCATCAGACCTGTGTTTTTATTTTTTGCACCATTAAAGTTTAAATATATCTCCTATTAATCACGTAATGAGATCTCTCAGCATGCTTCCAGGTTTGTGGCTTGCTGCAGCCATATGGCTTGGCAGCCATAATCTGAAACCACTACTACTAATACTGAGATATAAAAAGACCACAGTGGTTGTTTAGGAAGTGATATATTCCTGGACTGTGTTGCTGAAGCTCTGATCTGTGTGTTGTGGACTTTGTCCTCCCAGAACGAGCTCAGTGTTGCGAAGGGAACTTTTGAACCCCAGATAGAGCAAATCTCCATTTGTCCAACATCCTGATATTTAATTTCTTTATTATTTTCTATTTCATGTGACCACACCCACATTTGGGCCCATGCATGTGCCGCAGTTACTGTTCTGATGAAACCTCTGCTACAGAGCAGCAAACCTCTTGGTATCTCGCCTGATCGATATTTTAAAAAGAACCAGATGCTGTATTTTGTGCATGGCTGCGTTTGGACCGGACCATTAGTGTGTTGGCTGATGATGGACGTTTAAGAGCAGGTGATGCGACATTAATAAAACCAAGGCTGTTTGTTTTGTTGCTCTTTTTTTCCTCCATAAGCTTTTCTGAGTTTTGGAGTCATGTTGATGGCCTGAACAACATTTACAACATTTCTGAGGCTCTAACTGAGACACAGAAATTTACTATGATAATAAAACATTTTCTATAATATAATATAAATAGGGTAAAAGCAAAAACACAAAACATAAAATAACAAAATAAAAACTATTAAAAAAGTAAGTGGGAAAAAAAATCAAGTACAAAAAAACTAAACCACTTTATTTTTAGAGTGCTTTTAACACGGCATTACAACCGACCAAAGTGCTGTACATGATAAAACAACACAGGCAAAATAGTCAAATGACATAAAAACAAAAGAAAAACCACAAAATACTAATCCACAGATTTTAAATTGAACAACCAAGGTGGAAAGAAAAATGACAAAGTATGACTGTGCTGCAAATGATAAAACAAAAACAAAAATAATATGCATGTTTATACAGATATGTATATGCATTTAACATACATAAATATTTAAAAGGCTAAACGAATCAATACATTCATAACAGACACGGCACAGATAAATATCGAGTGAAAGTAAGAGTTACTGTAGATTATGTTAAATTTTACTGCAGGGAAACTATTCTAATCTATTGTAGCTTTGATAGGTAACGCTGCGTATATACATATATGTAAATATTTAGTTTGTATTTTTTTTTTTTTTTTTTTTTTTTTTTTTAATTTAGTTTGTATTTATGTATGAATGTATGTATTTTCATTATTTACATTATTGTGGATCAACCCATGTGGTTATCAGCCAAACCAGGATTGTTTCTGTGTGCAAATGCACACACGTGTTCATGTACCTGTCTGTTAGCTGACTGTCACTCACAGAAAGTAATCATTACACCGACATCTACAGCCGATTCGCTTTGGGAGTCCGCCTGATTCAACATGGCCACCACAGCTACTTGAACTTAGCAAACAGAAAAGAGAGTTTTACAGAAATTAGAGCAGTAGTTGCTAAGAATCCCCAACACATGCATATGCATCCTCACATAATGGAGAGTTAATGAACATTTTGTGCAGAGTGATAATTTTGTGCAAAGATACATGAAACACATTATTTGGTCTGGAAATGATCCATCACCTTTGAAATGATGTCAATCACAAGAGACCTGAAGGAGGAGGAGAGCTTCAGCAGATCCTAGTTTGAATACAAAAATTGTCCTAATTTGCTTGTCGGGCTGATAAAGCACCAACTGAGCTGTTATTCAGCATTTGCCGTGTTTTGTTTTCACAAATGTTCCCCTTTTGTTGTCGGTGGCAAAAAATAACTTATGGGAGAAAAAGTCTGATCAGATAAAGCAGCAAACAATGACAGTCACCCTAAAATGTTTGTTGGACTATTGCTTCAGGTAGAATAACTGCATGACAGAGGCTGTGGCGGGACATGACTGCCTCCTAGTGGTGATGTAAGACACTTGCAAGCTGATTTGTTGTGTCCTTGGGCAAGACACTTAACCCACCTTGCCTGCTGGTGGTGGTCGGAGAGAACGGTGGCGCCAGTGCTCGGCAGCCTCGCCTCTGTCGGTGCGCCCCAGGGCAGCGGTAACTACAATATAGCTCATCCCCACCCGCACGTGAATGTGTGTGTGAATGGGTGAAGGACTGATTGTGTTGTAAAGCGCCTTGGGGGGTTGTAGAACCCTAAGAAGGTGCTATGCAAGTACAGGTCATTTACCAAATTATGACGTAGAGATGGTGTTTGTACTTTGGGCGACGCGTTAAATAAAGGATCACTTTTACAGTGATAATCAGACTGCTCACACGTTTAAAAATGTGACGTTTCTGTCTCCATCAGGCTCGCATGGCGCTGGAGAAAGGAGCTCAGGCTGTGATCTTTGATATCAGTGACGACGCCAATGCTGCTTCTGAGGTGAGCAGCTTCAAACAAAAGTGTTACGTCAGATCAGGAAACTAATTTGAGTATCATACATAGATAACCCGAGCACGTACAAAATGTAGTTTTCAGTTATTATTTCATTTATTAGGTAAGATAAATCAGTCCATTTTTTTTGTTAGATACTGAAGTTTGTTTTCTGATCAGAAACGTATAAATCACGACCATCAGATCATCTGATTTCTAAAACCTGGCACCAGGACTGGTCACAGGAAAACTCACATCCTACCACTTTCCTGTGCAAGAAAGATGGTGCAGACACACACGGTGCTGTTTTCTGCTTCTTCCACAGTTTCTGGAGACAGAGTCCCTCCCCCATCCAGTTGTTCTGGTGAAGGGGGACAACGCAGAGAAACTGATGGGTTTGGTCAACAAAAACGAGGAGGCCAATGTGGTTATTGAGATCAAGATCGAGACGCGGGTAAGCATGGGTTTGCTTTTCAGATGATGTCTCATCTTCCTCACCTTCTCTTGCTGGCTGGGAGGTAGCAGAGGAAAACAAATCAGGAGTAACATTCCTGGGTGGCAGCTAGAAGTTGTTAAATATCTTATATTCAAAGAAAGACCTAGAAGTCTTTTGAACAATTAAAAACGATGTTCTTCTGTTTGGCTTACAGCCCAGTTATGACATGACTATCCTGCTCACCATCATCCTGGTTATTCTCACCATCGTCCTGATCTTTGCTTTACGCTACAAGTGCAAGTCCAACAGAACCTGGGTGAGTGACAGCAGAACCAACGGCTGTGATCCACAGCACATACACACACACATTATCTCTCATAGGTTTTACTGACTCTCCATGTCCCATGTTCCCAGGACTCTGTTCACCAGCAAACCATGCGGGCCATCAATCGACTGGAGACCAGAACGTATCGCTCCCAGAGCTGCTCGCAACGCCATCGCGGGGCCTGGGGCTCAGCCAGCAGCTCCAATTCCAGCCCTGTCTGTGCCATCTGCCTGGAGGAATTTCAGGAAGGGCAGGTACGTAGAGGACCATGGATGTGTGTTTTTTATTTGTATGTTTGGTCAGTTTTAATTGGTTTTTGCATCCCTGCTGGTCCAGAATCTGAGGATTATTTCCTGCGCTCATGAGTTCCATCGAGAGTGTGTGGATCCCTGGTTGCTGCAGCATCGCACCTGTCCCCTCTGCATGCGCAACATCATGGGTGAGGAAACGCATGCTCCCTATTACGTTTGACTGATTTGCTGTTAAAAATGCTCATCTCTTCATTCTAATGGTTGCTGGTCCACAGGAACGGAGCGTCAAGCTCAGAGGACAAGACCCCAGCAGAGTTCAGAGCAAAGCCAGAGGTTCCTGCACCCCCAGCCTTACAGCACCCCTCACAGCCACCTGTTTCCCCAGCACGCCATCCCCTTCTCTATGAGGCCCCACTATCCCAGAGGACCTTCTGGGCCTTACCCCAATCTGGGCCACTACAGTGGCTCTGCTCCCATGGACAGTCAAACACTACACTTCCTCAGCAGTAGGCAGTTGGGTGCAGGGTGTGGGTACCACCTTCCTGTGGAGGTTCCAGGGAGGCCCCACCGGATTGGAGGGAACTGCAGGACTTCTAACCATCACTACTTCTCTCGTCGGTCCTGCAATAACTACCGCTCTTCTTGTCCCGCACAGAGAAACACATCTGGCTCCAGACCGCAGCACAATGTCTCAGTCACACCACCGGGCCATGGAACGGTGGCCCGCAGTCGGCAGGACGAGGGGAGCTGTTCTGGTGGCAGCTACCACACAGAACGCAGTGGGTACTTGGCCGATGGCCCAGCAAGTGACTCCAGCTCTGGTCCCTGTCACGGCTCTTCCAGTGACTCAGTTCTCAATTGTACTGATGTGTCCCTGCAGGGAGTTTATGGCAGCTGGTCCACTTTCCGTAGCTCTCTGAGCAGTGACTATGATCCGTTTGGGTATTACGGGGCAGGTCCTGGGCGTAGCCCTCGCAGGAACAGCCTGGAGGCTGGGGCCCAGGTCCGGCCCAGGTCTCTGGATTCTGTGGTAAACAAAGAAGGCTGCCTTGAAGAGCAGCCACAGACTGTGTTCAGCCACATCCACTACCATCGCCACAGACACCACCACTACGAGGAGGGGGAGCACAGCCAAGGCCTGACCAGAGGATCTGATGAGGAGCAAGGGGCTTGTGCTGCTGCAGCTGGTCCCTCTGCTCCCATCCTGGACAAAGACTCTTCTATGTGCCCCCCAAAGCACAGCCCTTGTCACTGTTCCAAGCCAGACCCCACTGACCGGCCCAGTCCTGGGACAGAGTGTCAGGACAGAGACCCCACAGGACCTCCTGTCCTTATGTCCTCCATTCCCTTACAGCTCCAGCCCCGTTGCTGCCACCAAGGACACGGACACCCTCCTGCTCCTCTGGGACGAGTGGGAGGCTGTCTGATTGACGGCCCCTCTGTTCGCTTCCACCAGAGCCTGGACATGCAGGACGATCATAGCATCCATATCCACTACGGTCAGAGTTCGGGATTCTGCTGCTCTTCGGAGCTGCACCCGGCCCTGCTCCCCGTGCCCCTCATTCTGGACTCGGCAGGGATGGAGGAGTGGCCTTGCTGTGCCGGAGCCCATGTTGTGTGGCAGAAACAGGTGCAGCAGGCCCACTCAGAGCCTCAGCTCATGGGTCCTGGGACTTCTATGGACAGACCTCCCTGCAGGTCTCATCACCACGGGTTCGCTGCGGACCGCACCACAGACATCTGTTTATACTGCCAGTCATTACAGAACAATCAGGGTGAGTTGCACTAACGTGTCTGTCTAAGGTTACTGTTCAGATCACATGAGTTTATAAAGCTTTGGTTGATGTTTGGTCGTAACCTCCAAAAAGAGAGAGAGAGAGAAGCTCATTTTGGTAATAATAATGTTTATTATGGCTTCTGTCATTTTTATCCAACCTCCATTTTTTTCAGCTTAAAATTAAAGTCTTCCAAAAAAATTCACTTTTCATTGACAGCTCAGCATCAGATAAACGTCTGCAGCTGATTTCAGTTGTATTAATCAGCTCTCAGCATTCAAACAGTATTTCTAAAAGAAATGCCAATTCTCCTTATCTAGAAATTCCAAAGGGTGCCGTAGTTGGAATTTAACTCAACATTTTTATCGTTCCCACAGGATCAGAAGAAGAGTCTGGGGTGTGAGAACTTGTTGCATCAATTTTTGCTAAACAGGAGCCAGAATGGAAAAGCTTCTCACAAAAATCCCGCCAGCAGTGCCTTTGTTGGAGTGACACCCTCTCATTTTAGAATAGCAGTCATTTCTTTCTGATATTTAACATGACTACACACTTTATGATGTCAATATGTGAAGATGTGTTGTGTCAAGGGGAAGTGGCTCTCACGCCACTAAAGGTTCCTTCAGCTCAGTTTGCAGTCACAAGTTCCCATGATCCTTGGCGACAACCAACCAATGAATGATCCTGTTTGGGGTGTTTAGCCCACATGAAGTGAAACTGCATCCCTTCATCAGTTGTTCCTTTGACAAAACCACTTGATCCATCGTAAAGGTACCAAGCTTTCATCCTTCGCTGAGTCCAGTCTCAGCTGAGAGAAACCCTTCTCTCCAGCCTACCTCAGCTCAAGCTTCTTAACTCGCCTAACCTTTAAAGGTACTGCTGTAGTGGATTTCTTTTACCTTTCTTCTCACAGCTTGTGTAGCTTCCACAAACTGAACAGAAAGTTATCCTCTTGACAGTCCAAGTCCCTCAGCCCCTTCAGAAACAAGAATTCGCCAAGGTTCCTCGGCCTCATGCAGGCCTCGTTTTCATTATTTCAACAATGGCAGCTGTTTTCATCTTTGTCTTTTTTTTTTTTTTTTTTTTTTTTGTAGTTTGAAACTTTTTTATGCTTCAGACAAACTGGTCTGACTGAATAACAACTTTGTCATTACAAGCTATAGCCACATTTTTGTTGTTTGTCAGGTTACTTCAGTGCTGTTATGGTCCTTGGGCAGCAGCCCAGTCAGAAGGATGACAATCAGATCTTCTGTTCTTCTTACTCATTGTGTTGTGGTTTATTGTCTTTTGCAAAGTGTTTCTTGTCTTCCAGATTTTAGAGTGATAGGGAAGTGTTTTACAGCAACTACATAAAGAAAACATCTCTCTTGTCTCTAAGGAAAGCCGTGCCATGCAGATGTAAAATGTTAGCTCACTGTCGGTGACGCCAGTTTTATAAAAACTTGTTTTTTTAATGATAATTTCTAACAAAAATGGGCAGAGCCTGATAAATGTCTCAGGACCAGTCAGAATTCTACAAAAATATCTTTCTGAAATCAAAAATGTTTTTTTATTCTTTAAATAAAGAATTTGCACATTTTGACAAATTAATATTCAAAACAAACTTAAAAAAAGAAAATTGATTAAGTTTAAAGTGTGTGTTACCTAGTAAACCCATATAGCTGCTTAAATAGGCAGACTATGTAAATGAAACCTTGCTGTGCCATTTAAATCTGGATTTAACTGCAAAAAAAAAAAAAAAAGCTGAGATGGAAAATAAAATCTGTTTAAATTCTCTGAAACCCATTAAACAGAAAAATGGATTATTTTGTTGTTTGCAGACAGTCAAAGGGCTTTTGGGTATTACGGCATAGCCAGTAGCACTTATAAATCCTCGCATGTGCCTTAATTATTCATTCAATCTCTATCAGTAGACTCCCAACACGTAGCTCTTACCTGTCAAACCAAAGAAGCGTTATAAGGATGATATCATGTATAACGTTACAGTAATTATTTGAGGCAATCATGCAAAATGCATCAGCTGCAGTTATATTTTTTGACAAATACCTCACTTGGAATGTGTTGGCACAGCTTTTCTTTATATAAAACATGAGGATTTCCTGTTTTGTGCCCAGACAGTCCCAGGGACTGAGATAATGACTGAATTTTAAGCAGCACTTTTGCTTAAGCAGATTGTATTTGTCAAAAACAACAAATGACATCAGTGTAAACCAGCCCATAATCATCAGCTTGTAGCATTTACCTCTGAATGGTGGTGTGTCATCCTGTTCTGGCTCTTTCTCATTGTTTGTTTGTTTTTCTTCTGTTTTGCAAGAATTATGAGCTGGAACTGCCTTTTTTTAGTAAAGTAAAGTAAAGAATAAAGGTCCCTCCAGAACTCTAAGGGATATTGTATGTCAGTATATTTTGGATACTTTTGTGTAAAAGAAAAAGAGAACAACAAACCCAGAAATGAAATAGTGTTGTATTTTAAATATATATATATATATATATATATATATATATATATATATATATATATATATATATATATATATATATATATATATATATATATATAGTAGAACATTTCAATATAGTGACCAGTCACTAATATATTTATTTACTAATATATTTATCCATTTTGTCCAGGTGTCAAAGAATGGTTTCTGTATAGACTGAATGTTTCTGTATGGAAACTGACTGGTGCCATCACAAATGTATCAACCTGTCTTCATTCCAGTTATATGCAAATAAATTATTTTGAAATAACACTTCTGTGCTAAGTTTATTTATTTATGTGTTCCAAAAATTGTCATTATTTGAGATAGTTAAATCACAGACCAACAGTCTGAAGCCTCTTCTTATGAAAATGTATCCCAGAAGACAAATTTGGGAGTTTTCTGGAGAATTCTGGAAAAGTCTGCTGGTTGACTGTGAGCTTGTGGACCATAAACAGGAAACACGCCACATTCATGAGAATCAACTATGACTTTTTTAGGATGATGCCCTCAATTCAGTTCAATTCAATTTTATTTATATAGCGCCAAATCACGACGAGAGTTGTCTCAAGGCGCTTCACATAATAAACATTCCAATACAGGTCAGTTCATTAAGCCAATCAGAAAAAATGTTTCCTATATAAGGAACCCAGCAAATTGCATCAAGTCACTGACTAGTGTCAGTGACTTTACAGCAATCCTCATACTAAGCAAGCATTTAGCGACAGTGGAGAGGAAAACTCCCTTTTAACAGGAAGAAACCTCCAGAGGATCCTGGCTCAGTATAAGCAGCCATCCGCCACGACTCACCGGGGATCAATTAGACAGAGCACACACACACACACCAAGGTTCATTTTATGAAGCTTTCTGAATTTGCTGAATACCTGCAACTTCTAATTTACCCCAAACCACTTCTGGCAATACAGTGTCCAGAAGTAGTAAGATTAATACCTTTATCAGAAACCTGCCATATCCAGTCTATAAATGTCTACTGCCCTCTGATGGACATTTTACTAGTGACAAGGGCCAATTTTATTTCTTCATTGTGGGAAAAGGTGTAGATTAATGAATAGTAAATAGATGTGGTTGACTGAAAAAAAAAACATTTTTAAATTGGTACTTCTGATTATAATCAGTCCCTCTGAGTTGTACATGCAGGCTGAACATGAAACAGTGTTCCACACCTATCTCCTGCATTAGCTTCTGACAGAAAATAGTCGGCGAAACACTACGATTTGAAAATCCTTACGGATCTATGTCACACAGTGAATTTGCATTCATGGACTCGCTCATCTTGGTTTGCGCCCACCCACAAGAAGGCTTTTTTTTGCAGCAAGGAGAGATAGCATAGTGTCTTGGTGATAGTGACTTTGTAACATGGGTTAACGCCTTCTGTTGGCCAATCAGGGGGCCCTCTACCCCAGGAGCGGTGGTCGACTGTAGCTTCCTGGGCGCTCTATAGGTGGGGGTCTATGCTCCCCCTCCACTGAGCGCCCTGACTTAGTGTGGAAGACCTGATGCTACCGGGGCAGACGGCTCCTCTGATGGCGTTTCCTTGCCTTACCTTACTTGGCTCATCTGGACTCAGCCAAATATAATTTTTACTTGTGTGTGTGTGTGTGTGTGTGTGTGTGTGTGTGTGTGTGTGTGTGTGTGTGTGTGTGTGTGTGTGTGTGCGTGCGTGTGTGTGTGTGCGTGCGTGTGTGTGCTTGCATATGTCTGTTAATGTTTTTAACCTGTTATGGGAATCGGGTCATTTTGTAAAGCAGTTTGAGTAGCACTTTGTTTGAAAAGCGCTTTATAAATAAATCTGATTGATTGATTGGTTAATTGATTGATTGATTGATTGGTTGATTGATTGATTGATTGATTGATTGATTGATTGATTAATTGATTGAATGAATGAATGAATCAGAAGGTGTGTGAGGTGTGCGTATATCATTAATAATAAAGAGCAATCCTGTTTTTTTCAGTCCACCTCTGCACCAGCAAACGCATGCATTTCAGAACAGGAGCATCGTGGCATTTTTAATGACTCATAAGGCATCGATTTACACAAAAAGAAGATAAAATATTCTTTCAAGGTTCAAATATCCCCTGCAAATGTATTACATAAACAAGTAAACCACACATTTAAGAAATCAGCATTAGCCAATACACAGTTTTTTTATTTTCATTTCATATCTCAGGCTTTAAAGGGTTGAATGTCTTTCTGATCAGTGTTTAGGAGAGCAATGGTTGCCTTTTTAGGTTTTGATCTACTAAATAATTATTAAAGAAACTTGTAATTTCAAGTAAAAATGTAAACCAGTAAATCTAGAAATTTAAAAAAACGCCTGACCAACTATTTTAGGTATTTAAAGAAGCTACTGTTTAGAACTTTTGTAACTTTGTTTACTGTTTAAAATCCATGCTTTTAATTTGAAGGGACAAGTTCCTGTTTAACATTTAGTTGAAGTCAGCTTAGCTGCATTTTGATTAAACCACTTGGGTGTTGATGGGTTTTCGTTATTAGCAGCCTCTTGATAAAGGAACAAGGTACATTTATGAAGCGAATAATTTGTATGACTAAAGTTTTACATGTATTTGTTTCTGTGCCAAAGCTACATTTGTTGTAAGTTATTGTTCAACAGTTGGAAGTATGGAAATTAGCTTATAGTTTACATGCTGTTTTGTACACTCCAGTTCTTAATGTGAAATGTATGAGTGTTATTAGTAAACAAAAAACAAGCAAAAAACAATTCGATTTAAAAAAAGACGTTTGTGATTACCTTCCATTACTGTTGTCTTACTATCATTACTATTTATACCATGTAGTATAATTAACTCATATTCCACGAGTTGGGACTTGAGCAGCTGATATAGAATTTTACAAAGTAGCTGGATTGCTTTATAATTACTGATAGGTCCCATCTGGTATCAAACTGCCATGGTTTTATGCACCTTCCTACTGGTGGTGGTCGTAGGGACTGGTTTGCGCCAGTGCTCGGCAGCCTCGCCTCTGTCAGTGCGCCCCAGGGCAGCTGTGGCTACATCGTAGCTCATTCCCACCAGTGTGTGAATGTGTGTGTGAATGGGTGAATGACTGATTGTGTTGTAAAGCGCCTTGGGGGGTTCCAGGACTCTAGAAGGCGCTATATCAAATACAGGGCATTTACCATTTTACCATTTACCATATGTTCAGTGTCATTCCACCTTATTACACATGACTTAGTGTGGAAATCAATGGTTTTGGCGTTTATCTTCTCGAAAGATGAATGGAGTCTGTCGTTTAAAACAAAAACCAACGTAAATGAAAACTATTATATATAATTTTTGCTTGATTTAATTTTTGTTTCTCAAACCACATGACATAAAACATATTAACACGTCTTCATTTAGCCAATTGCAGCTCAGCCTACTTAGTTCTAAAAGCGAATGTGGTAATGCTTGAAGGATGTAACATGAAGATTTCCAACACTTTTGGTTTTCCTCAGTTGTGGTGAGCGTTGTTTATTTCTGAAACACGTCCTGCAGCCTCAGCATGGTTTGGTGGCAGTCAGAGGATCAGCGAAGGGCTTTGGCCTGCCCTTCAGGTGTCAGCACAGTGAGGTTTCCCCTGGCATCTTGGTCGTTTTCGATGGCCTCAAAGAGAGACTTGAAGTTTCCAGCCCCAAAACCCTAAAGGCAGAACACACACACACACACACACATGCAGATGGCTAACTACCCAAAGATATGCCTTCTTCTTTGCCATTTGTCATATTTCAAGAAGTTGTCTCACTGACAGCATTCAGCTTCAATACTTTGAAGTCAGATCACAAAAAGAAGATAAAATATTCTTTCAAGGTTCAAATATCCCCTTGGCTCTCACCAGAAGCAGCACTTACTGTGAAATCACCAATTAATCATGTAAATATTTTAATGATGATCCAACGATCGAGTGTTAGTGGCATGTCTGATGGAGTCTTTGCTGTGGTTTTCTACTCAGATTCTCACTTTCATCCACATCAGTGCGCTCTGGAGAGTGACAAGATGCGCCTGCTCTGACAAGCAGAACGGGTGCTGAGTGTCATAAATTAGGTGCCACAGGGTGCAACCCAATCCACAGATCCCCCTCACTGTGGAGAAGTGAGCCTTTTAATCTGCATCTGTGATAGATTTACTGAGCTTTTACAAGTGGGTGGATCTTGGGGTGTTTGCTCTGTGTGGGAGCTGTAAACAGGTGTTCAGGCAGCTCCCGTTCTGCCTCTTCAATGGGAAAAATGATCACAAGCCCGGAAATTCAGTCAAGGATAACCATTCATCAATAGCTGGCATCTGGCCAGTCTGTCACAATTTTTTACAGCTATTGAGTCCAGCATTTATGTATGATCCCCCCCTTTTTAAAGCTTATCTATTGTTCCTATTTGTTGTTTGTGGTTTTTATTTATGTGGGGAGGTCAGGGCTGCAGGGCTTCATGGGATGGAGAACATGTAGAGTGAATACTAACTGGTCACTTACAAAGTGGTTATTCCTCTGAATGACCTCCAAGAAAAGTGTCGGTCTGTCCTGCACAGGTTTGGTGAAGATTTGAAGAAGGTAGCCCTTGTCATCGAAATCAACTAAGATTTTCAATGCCTATAAAACAACATAGAATAAATGTTATTATGTTACAAAGGTTTGCTTAAGGAAGCTTGAACTATTCCTCACCTGTAAGTGGTCGAGATCCTCTTTCACCGTGATTTTGGCGCTCTTGAGTTTCTCCCGCAGGGTGTCATAGTACGTGTCAGGAGCTGAGAGGAACTCCATTCCTCGTTCACGTAGTTTTGTTACCTGGTTAATTAAATGTTTTTTTTTTAAAGACGCAGGATATAATTTGTGCTTTACAGAGATGTGATTTTGAAAAATGTAGAAATCAATCAAAACGGACTCACAGACTGAATAATGTTTGACGTGTTCAGGGCGATGTGCTGAACGCCTGCTCCACCGTTATAGTCCACGTATTCCTATGAACAGAGGAACTGCTCACTAAATATTTCTATAGTTGTTCTCTGGGATGTTTGTACCTCCAGTTGCTGGAAACCATGAGGCTGAAAGGAAATGAGCCCCACCTGGATTTGAGACTTCTTTTTCCCCTGGGCAGGTTCATTGATGGGCATCTTTATGGTCTCTTCATAGTTGGTCACCACAATGGACCTCAGTGCACTGTACTGTGTGTGGATCTGCTTGTCATCTATTGACCAGAACCGATGGAACAGCAGACACTTCTGATACCTGAAACATGAACAAGGTAATTGTACTTTCCTTCAAAATGTTTCATGAACAGAATGGAGACTTTTAATTTATTTGAAGCAGTAGTTTTCTGTCGAGGCATGCCTTTGTGCCCTAGCATGACACCCTAACAGCGGTGGAGTGTTTACATTGTCCTCTAACCTTGTGTGACTGCCGGACATGTAGCGAGTGTACGTGCACTCCATCAGGAATCTTACCAGTCAGAAATTGGCACCATTTGGTCATCTGGCTGGTTTCCCACAATGTGGTCGATGAAGTTCAACCCTGCTGGTGGACTACAGAGAGAAAAGGGGAAAAAGCAGTGGATGGGTATTTTTCCATGAAATCCCAGCAAGAAACAAATTAAAATTAATTCTACCTAAACATCACATGGGTGGATATTTTCCTGTGACACATTTACATGACCTAAAGAGACTGTGTAGTTTTTACTGTTCATCTCTGGTAATATCTGTGGAAATGTTGTTCAAAAAAATTAAATGATGCCCAGTTGTTGAAAAATACTTGTGGCTTTGTAACGAAAAAAATTGGGTCTAAAATACATGGGAGCGGGTCTAAGTCTCTGGGCGACGCCATGTTTCCTTCTACAGGTTCCCGTGAGGACAAAATGCATTTACTGATTTGTAACAAATGGTTACAAAACTGGGCTGCACAGTGGCGCAGTGGTTAGAGCTGTTGCCTTGCAGCAAGAAGGTCCTGGGTTCGCTTCCTGGCCTGGGATCCTTCTGCATGGAGTTTGCATGTTCTCCCTGTGCATGCGTGGGTTCTCTCCGGGTACTCCGGCTTCCTCCCACAGTCCAAAAACATGACTGTTAGGTTAATTGGTCTGTCTAAATTGTCCCTAGGTGTGAGTGTGTGTGTGCGTGATTGTTTGTCCTGTGTGTCTCTGTGTTGCCCTACGATGGACTGGCTGTCTGTCCAGGGTGTACCCCGCCTGATTGCCCGTTGACCAACCTATCTTCCATTAAAAAAAAAGCTTTTTTTTTTCTTTACACCTTTTTATTATTTCCAATTTCTGACTGCAAACCAGCTCGACCACAAAGTCACATTAATGAGTCCCACGTTGATTTTTATATATCTTTGTATTAGAAGCTTTTAAAACTCACAGTTTGGCTAACAGGGGATCCCTGAAGAGGGGCTCCTTGTAGCTCGGCAGGAAAAGGCCCTTGTACGGTTCAAGGTTCTCAATGAGTGTATGAGTCGTGTCGCCATACTGGAGATAAAACATCCACACAGCATCATTATGCAGTTCCAGCTGCATGTGTGTATTTACCCAAGGCTTCTAAAAGTGAATCACCCTTTATGTACCGTCTGAATCACAGCATACTTGACCCTCCCGTGGCTGTCCTGCTCCACCCAGGGTTCCTTCACAATAGCAGCTCCTCGCTCCCTTGCTGTCTGTGAAAAGGTGGCGGGGGGAAAAACAGGAGTTTCAGCCTGCTTGGAGAGAGCTGGTGACTAATACCCTCCAGTGGCTACAAAGGGAATATCTTTTTGAATATGAATTTATTGTTCTGCAAATATCAGATTTCCTGCTGTGAGCTCTGCAGACTTGGTAGTGATCCTGTAACTTTGAGATTTCCAACAGTCAACAGACTCCGTTTGTCTAAACCTTCGTTTTGACCTTGACTGCGGTAAAAAGTTCAGACGAGTAGAATCAGTCCCAGTGCAAAGCTGGCATGTTTGCCCAGATTTCAACACGCTGTGTGTAGAATGTATAAAAAACTGCTTAACTTGAGTAAAAACAAGCTAAAATGAGAGCAGTGGACAAATCTATAATCCCAGCATCTCCCGTTACCCAATAGCTGCTGTTGCTCAATGGTGTATAAACAAGTAAGGAAATCTACTGAACTTTTCCACATATTTAAGGGACTTTTTTTTTACCTAGTTTCTTTTCTTTATTGCTCTACTTTTATGAGCCGACTTTTTTCATTTCTCTGCATTTATTTTATCAAGCAGCAAATTTCACCAACAAATGAATTGAACTGACACTAAAGATAAATGTAAATAAATCATATTTAATTGCATACAAAATTAGGCTTCTTATGCATAAAAGAACATATAAATACGTTTTAGGCCTTATATAACTGCACCTAAACAGTTAATGTTTGGTTATTTGGAATTTTACTTGGCTAATGTTTAATACTTTTACATTTTTAAATAACGTGTCCATCAGAACCCGCCTGTTTTACCTTGACTAAGAAATCACAGTCTTCCACCTGGAAAGCAATGTCTTTCACTCCATCTCCATGCTTGATCAAATGCTCCCCCATTTCTGAATTTGGAACAAAAGCATGATGAAAGCTGAATGTCATGTTCTTTGATGTAATCTCACATGTCCAACGGCGCAAACGTGCCTTTGTTTCCAGGGTTTAGGGGAGATTGAAACACAAAGATTATCTGCAGAAGAAGAGGTGGAGGTGAAGGTTGAGTTTTTGCCAGAGATGGATCAGGTGTAAACCGGTGTAAACTCAAAACAATACATGAAAAGGTTGTACTCCATACCTTATCCTGTCTGATGGCATGGGACACCACCTCCCGGCTGCCAGTCTCCAGACCCTTGTAGGCCAGAGGCTCAAAGCCCATCTTATCGCAGTAGAACGAGGCTGCCTGTGCAGTAATGGGTTGGTGGAGAAAATGTTTAATGGACTTCAACTAAAAGAAACCAAGTTTGCTTCCTTCTATTGTGCAGAACTAGAATAAAACTATAAATGTCCTGTTTGTGACAGTTTGGACACTAACCTGCTTAGCATTGCCAACCCAGAAGGTAACATGATGAAACCTCAAAAACTTTCCCCTTGCATGCTAAAAAGTAAAGTAGAAGAATAAGAATAACTAAATATATACATCTCATTCAAGCTCCTGGCTCAGTAGAAAAATGAAAGCTCACCTTCTCGCCCTTATCTGTGTAGCTTGTCTAAAGGAAATGAAGATATAGTTTATTAGAACTTCATTAGCAATATTTTATATTTTTAATGTCTTATCATCACAGTAACCCAGCTGTGAGACCATCCAGTGTCCCTCAGCTCATTATCGGTGTCTATAATGGAGTCTCTTACCATGTTGTGATGGCAGATGGGTCTCAGCTCAGAGAGAGAGATCAAAAATCAACCTGCAGATAAGTACTGACCTGATGACCAGCTGTGATTGGTCCTAGAGAATCTACACCCACCTGTCTGCCCCCTCGCTCTTTGTTAGTTAAAAGGTTCAGTTACAGTAATCCAGATTACTGTATGTCTCTTCTTGTAGAACCGGTGTCTCAACAGACATAGGCACTAATGATTGACACCGCGGCTGCAGAGAGGGTGGGCAGACAAAAATAATGATGTTACTACACCTCACACATAACTTATTCAAAATGCCAAACTTCATAAAGATATGAAAATATATGTACAATGTAGAAATGATAAGGCTAGTAGAGTAGCGTAGTAAAGTGCGAGTAGAATAAAACAAAACTAAACAAAAATGCAAATATAGTTAAAATATACATAAATCTGCTGATGTGCCCTAAAATCTCTTGTTTCTGGTTTCCATCACCAGAGGGAGCAAAGTCGCTTGGTATAAATGACAAAAATTAGAACAGGTGTGTGATCTGATTTTAGATCACCACAGTGTAGTGGATCACTACACAAACAATTATTTTTAGTTATTTAAACAATCACATTACTAAATTGATACAATATAATTATTTAATTAATCAAATAATGAAATTTTTAATTTGTGGGAAAAAAACATGAAAAAATGTTTATTTTCTGTTAAAGATAATGACGTTTGAAGAAAGTTTTGATTTAATATTTTGATTTAATGTTTCAAAACGTAAATGTTTTTCTTTGAAACAATTTATTTTTTCCTTTTTCAGAAAAAATACACATTTAAATAAAATGCATTTACAGGCACATTATTTATTTCCCCGCTTTTCTTCTCGTTTTATATGCGTTTGTGTTTCTGCTCGGCTGTGGGCTGTACCCGATGGCTGTACCCTGTCGGCGGAACATGTGAGTTTCTGCACGTATCACCTAGTTTGTGTGGAGACGGCTTTTGCCGCGCTGTGATTTTCTATTGGATCGCTGTCCGAGCTACGTGGCGTCTGATTGGCTTTGCTGTGGGCGTGTGCTATTCACTGGCTTGAATGACGCCGATTTTTATTGGCCACCACGAATATTGTAGCACAATTGGTCGAAACTGCCTCGCTTCCTTCTTCACCATTGGCTGGCGTTGAAATCATCGTACAAGAATGCGGAAAAAGTGTAGTCTACTGAGTCACCGTTGTGTCAGCTGATTCTGAGTGAGTAACTGGTTTTATTTTCGATCAAATTAAGTAACTTCTAAACAATTTACTTTCTGTAACATATTCTTAGGCTGTCACGCTTAGGGTTTGCTTGTGATTGCTGAGCTTTATTGTCGTTTTTGCGCATGAATAAGTGAATTTTGCCCACTAGCTTCTAGTAACGTTGCTATCTAGCTAACATGCTACTAGTACCCTTTTTTTTTTTTTTTTTTTTTTTTGCAAACATCCCACTCAAACAGGCTCACTTTCGTTTTGTCAAGTTGTAGGTGTACAGTATCGGTCTGTGAAGAAGCTGCCGCCCACTTTCACTTTCTCCCCATATGTTTGTTCAAACTTTATTAGACCTCGTACTTGGTTTTCACCTGTTGTTTGTTTTCACATGTTGTACTTTTGGACATATATAACCTTTTGGTTTGGGAAATCCCCCTTCTAATTACTTTCGTTTTATTGGAAGGCTTTTTTTATTTTCTGAGATGGAACTGAAACGGCACGGCATCTGATCGCTAATGATAAAATAGATTTCAGCGAATATTTTTGACGAATGCTTATAGATCAGTGGATAATCAGTTTTCTCTAAAGACAAACTAAAGCCTTTAGTAATCCAAATTATTTAAATTATTTTCATTTAGATGGCTTTATTGCAAAAATTAGATTCATGGATTTATTTGACTTAATAGGATGAGGGTTTATTAATTTCCATATTTCACAAAGATAAGTTTGATTCAATTTGACATTTAGAACAATTTCAGAATGTGTAGAATTGTTTCAGGCCAGCAACATGCATACAAATGAATTGTTTTATATCTAAAGTTTTAAAATTAATGATTTCATTAAGTAGTATTGGACTGCTTTAGTGGCTTATGAATTTGGAAACTGTTACTGTGTCTCCATGCTCTCCTGTCAAGGAAGTTTTTAAAGGGATTTAGTTGTTTCTGCATTCACTTAACATTTGGGTAACAAATGGTACACCAGGTTCCACCAGGTCTCTTTCATGCTAGCAATGCAATCTGAAGGTTTTCGAGCTTGTACCACCTGTTTATTTACAGTGTTTGACCCTGAGATGTAACAAAGTACCTGACGAGTAAAATGTTTAATTTGACCATCACCTGAATTGTCTTGTCAGTGCATAATGTTAAGATCTAAACCATTTTAATGCAAATTACACAAATGTCAATTTAATTTTCTATAATTCTTGTTATAGTTGAAATTGCCATGTAGATATTATACAAGTCAAACGTGAAGAGGATGCTTATACAATAAAAACAGAAGTTATGTCATAAAGTGCTCTGCTTGTGTCAGAAATTAAATGGCCAAATTAGACTTACCAAAAATATTCTACAAATAGTATTCAGTAAAATATGGTTGAACTTTGGAGTTCCTGGTGATCAGAGACTCACAGCTGCCTTTTTTTTTTAAACACCTGGATGCTCTGCAGTTGCACAGACCACTGTGTAAAGAGATTACATGTTTGGCTTGCTTCACCTTTTGGTTGAAGGATTAGTCACTAAGTAATTGACAGATTTGCAAGACTAAATTTAGAGCATGCAACATCAGTCTTGATATAGAATTTAATTTTTTAAAGATGATAAAATAAAAATTTGCCTTCATGATGAGGTTATAAACTAGCAAGACAAAACCGGTAGGAGAAAAAATTTCAAAAGGTCCAACCCCTTTCATTAAGCTCCACTCATCCACCTAGAGTCACAGAATCTAGTGGTTACAGAAACCGGCTTGTGACACAAACACACGCAAGCATTACACACTGCTCTGCAGAGCTGCAGTTAAGGTCAAAATTTCCCTGAATTGTATCAGAACCAACACATATATTGTCTCATTCAACAATTTGGTTTTCTAACAGACATACAATCTGGATTAAGGCTCTCAGTTTTACCATGAGTTTTGTCATAGCTAGACTAGATGCACATATAAATGCACTGATTGTCTCTGTCCTGATTAACACTGAGCCCCTTGGAGAATTTTCCATACTGGAAGGTGGAATTTGCTGAAGATTTGTTTATTTTTTTCGGTGGCAGTAATAAATTTGTATCATATAGAATAAGTTAAACTCTTAAGATAAGCAGTATATACAACATGGTTAAATAGAGAACAGAGATTGAACTGTTGGCTGAATAAGGTTTGCTACAGTATCTAAAAATAAATTGAGACGTAATGACACAAAGCACTCGGGGATGCAGGGTCATACAAGCAAGCAGGGATTTATTACTGTTTCCTATGGGTCTGAGTTGCTCCGATCTTGCTAAAGTTGTTTTTTCCTAAAGGATATGAAACGGCGAGGAACTAAGCTCTGCTGCTGGGGGAGGTGCTAATCGGACACTAGTTACCCAAATCAGATGTCGGAGGGGACTTTTTATTGCTTTTCCAAAGCCGGGTAATGTCCATGACCCAGCTAAAGACAGAGCGAAGCAGTAGTAGTTTTTATGTGAAAGAGCAGATTTTAACTCAGATCAGATCAGAAAGTGCACGAATATTTATTTCTTACATTTTCCCGGAGGGAATGGTCCTACATCCATGAATGACCAGCCAGTCCTAGCAACGCTCTCAGACGTGGAGTTATCAAGGATAACTCGACGGAACCTGTGACGCGGTCAAAATGGCGGTGGTGGCCACCTCCCATTTCTCCTCAAAAACGTGTTATTGGAGCCAATGGAAACCCATTGTCCATATATTTTTATGTCGATGAGGAAGACCCAGGACACCCTGGAGAGACTGTTTCACGGATGGTCAGGGAACGCCTTAGGATCCCCCGAAGGTGCTGTTCTAAGTGGCTGAGGAGAGGGAAGTCTAGGCCTCCCTGCTTAGGCCACTGCCACCACGACCTGACCCCGGATAAGCGGCCAAAAATGGATGGATGGATGGATATAAATACTGTAGAACACATCTTGTGCAATTTGAACTATATGCTTTACTGGCTTTCTAATTTTAAAATGTGCTATTGTATCAAATTGGTTACTAAAACATCTTATAATCTGGTGTCAGAATAATACCCATTTTGTTGTTTTAAGGTAATTAAAGATCAGTTTTGGCATACACTAACCTTTTGTGATTAATAACATTAAAGATAATGTAAAGTAGGGCTGTCGCGGTTGAGGAATTCCCCCTGCGGTGATTCAGGGTGGCTTAATATTGCGGTGTGCGATATTATTGCAGCCCTTTTTTTATTGCAGTACTATCTAAACATAATGTTTACACATTTAAAAAAGGTTAAAAATTGCCGTGCCTTCTTTTATAACGCTTTACTGAATGCAAAGGGCAGTAACAACCGCACGTTTGTTTCTCCGACAGTCGGAGTCCGACTGAACTTAAAAACAACAAAATTCAGGAGGTCAAACTTTTAAATGCAAATTTGGCTGCAGCATCTAACAAATAAGAAACAAGTCCCCATTTTGTTTAGTTGTTTAAAATCAAGCATAAAAAATTACATGTACCGGGCGCGCGCGCGCCGGGGGGCGGGCGCACTATCATTTCACTTTCACACGAATGACGGTGCTTTATAGCTCGGTCATGTCCTTGTTACCCACAAGGAAAACCAGCTTGTTAACCATATACGGTTTGAGAGAGGATCTGAGAGGGGTGGTAACATTTCCAGCAACACTGAAAACCCTCTCGGAGGGTGCGCTCGTTGCGCTAACGCACACGTACCTGCGTGCGACTCTGGCGAGCAAAGGGAATCTCTCCCGGTTGTTGCTCCACCATGTCAGGGGGGTTTTTTTAGGGTGGATGCATTCCTCCTGCAGGTAGCGAGTGAGCTCCAGTTCGGCTCAAACTCTCTTCGGTACGGTTGCAGAAGCAGTGCTTGTCCGGGACTTCAGCAGGTCTCCGAGCATTTATTTATTTTTGCCGCTGGTGGCAGCTCCGTCTCGGCCAAGGAC